TTATATATATATATATGTACATATGTATGGTTATATATATATAATATATGTATGTATTGATACATTAATACAGATATCACAAAGAAAAATATATCTAACGAAAATATCTAACAATATGCAGGGAAGAAGGAAAAGAGAATGAATGAATGAATATGCATATTTATATATATATATATATATATATGTGTGTTTAAAAATGAAATATTATGACACGTCTAAATACAATTGTATCATACGTAACGCATGGATTTGTTTGTCTTTCATTATTGGTTCATTATTGTTGTTAGTATTATTAATTTTATTGTTATCTTATTGTTATTATTATTATATTATTGTTGTTATTATCTTTGATATCATCCGGATCTGTGAAGAGCATTTAGAATGGCAGGTCAGACAGGACAGCATGGAACCAGACATCTCCAAGCGATCAGACCATTCCCTCCTACCAACATTTAAACAAAAATGGCGTAATGAGCAAAAAAGGGGCATTCAATTTCGTTGAGACTCTTTCAACTTCGTTTCAGATTTCACGAAGACCCATGCCAAATGACCTTAAAGACCCATGCTAAATGACCTTAAAGACCCACCCCAAATGACCTTAAAGACCCATACTAAATGACCTTAAAGACCCACGCCAAATGACCTTAAAGACCCTCGTCAAATGACCTTAAAGACCCATGCCAAATGACCTTCTTAACCCCTTATTCCAGCACATGGATGTTATTATTAACGTCATAATTATCAAAATTACCGTTTTTTATTTTGCCGTCGTTAGCTTTTATAACTTTTATAACTAAATAATAACTTTTATTATTATTACTGTTGTTGTTGTTAGCGTTTTGTTATTATTTATATTTATAATTATTTATTATTATTATTATTATTAATTATTTGCAGCCAACAGTTTCTCCCTCAGCGTCGTTATAATGTCTCTAGCGTCCTTTAAAAATTCAATGTTCCTCTGGATCTGTTCGAATGAATATTTCGTCTCAGCCAACTTGACCTCTGACGTGTCTATGTCGCTGACGTCATCCATATTTTTGTTTCTCTCATTATTATCGTCATAATTATTAAAATTATTACTATTTTTATGACCATTTCCATTGTTCATTTCGTCACCTGTTTCGAAATTGTTGTTGTTGTCGTTGTTCGTTTCTAAGTTATCATTTTCAGAGTTTTTCTTCACGTTATCATTAGCGTCAGTGTCGTAGTCATAGTCAATGTTGTTGTTGTTATTAATTTTGATATTGTTGAAGTCATAATAGTTATTGTTATTATTATTGTTATAGTTGTTGTTGTTTTTGTCAAATTTGTTGTTGTTTTCAAGCTCATCAATGAAATTTTTTAACGATTTTTCCTCATTAATTAATCTTTTCATTAAATTGCTATTATCAATGATACTGTCGTCATCGTTGTTGTTGTTGTTGATGTTGTTGATGTTGATGATGTTGTTGTTGTTGTTGTTGATGATGTCGTTGTGTCGTG